CTCCTGGGCCCCCTCGAGTTGGTGGGCTGCTCTGTAGGCACTAGGAATGTTTATGGCTCTAACACAGAGGAATATGGGGTTGCTGAGAGGCAGGTAGAGCCCCGTATCAGATACAACGTGAGAGTTTGTATCTGCCTCTGAATAGGATCAGGTCATGGGATCTCCAGGAGAAACAGGTCATGGGAACAGCCAGGAGAAGGAGAAGGGAGAGAATGTTGGTGGTGAAGATGGTGGTGGAGGTGGTGGTGATGATGGCGATGGTGATGGTGGTGATGATGGTGGTGGAGGTGGTGGTGGTGATGGTGGTGGTGGTGGCGTGTGTGTGTGTGTAGGGGCTATGGGATGAGGGATCTCTGAGAACTAGTCCAGCAATAAGTTGAGTGAGGAAGGAGAGACGGTGTGGAAAGAAGGGGGAGCACTTGTGGGGCCTCCCCTCCAAGCCCCCGTGCTGAGCTGACCTGCCTGGCCCCGGCCTCCCAGGAGGAGTCCTAGCACTGGACTTGGGGGGAGGCTGATGGGCAGACATGGAATCCCTGGAGACGCAGGCTCCTTTCCTGGGATTCGCTACCTCAGCTCGCTCTGCCGAGGACCCTTTGAAACATCCACTTAATGCCTGTGGGTGCCTTGGTCCTTCATGGCACTAATTAACTATGTAATTAAGCTTGACCAAGCCTGGCTGGTGTGGCTCAGTGGTTGAGCGTCGACCCAGGCACCAAGAGGTCGCCGGTTTGACTCCTAGTCAGGGCACATGCCCAGGTTTCGGGCTGATCCCCAGTGGGAGGCATGCAGAAGGCAGCCAATCGATGTTCTCTCTCATTGATGTTTCCGTCTTTCTCTCCCTCTCCCTTCCTCTCTCTCTAAAATCAGTAAAGAAAAAAAAAATTTAAACTTGACCGACTACTCCCTAACGGGAGACACTGGGCCATGGGAGGAAAGGGGGGGGTCCTTGAGTAGCTGAAGCTAACCCTTTAGGGCAGACAGGCTAATCAATAATCACCGATCGGAGTAAGCGCCACAAAACAAAGAGGCTGTTGCCCCCGTGCATCATTATGGTTAGAGAAGTAGGGGCATCCAATTAGGATCTCCTTGTGGTGGGGACGGCAACCCTGAGATGGACCTGTGTTTATCCTGAGCGTATCGAGGGCAGGCGCTATGTCCTGCTTACTTGTAAAAGCTCCAGTGCTTAGAACAATGCCTGGAACTTAGTATAAAAACTGGTATTATTTTTCTGGTAGGTACCCAATGGCGGTTTGATGAATAAATAAATGATCTCCTTCCAGCAGGTCCTATTTAATCGCCAGGTACTTAATCACATGAGGACTCTTAGGTCAAACAAACCTGATATTCTTATGCCCAGTCTGTCTTTACTTCCTCCTTTCTTGTCTGCCCTTCATTCATTTCTGTTCGTATCTCCAGTTGATGCCAGGGATGCGTTGAGTCCAAACAGGAAAGAACGCACACACATACAGGCACACACACACCACATATCACTGACGCCTCCATTCCTGCAGATGTTGCAAATTCTATCTGAGAGGCTAGTAAGCCTCCCAAATAGAGCCACCCTCCTGGACTGTCACAGGCCTCCTTAAACGATCCCGGAATAGTGTCTTCTCTTTATTGCTTTGTGTAGTTCAATCGCACCAATTGCAATTATTCTAGCTTATGATCAACCCCAAAACTATAAAGCTCCTGTTCATTCATTGTTTTTCTCAAGCTGTTATTTTTGGGGCATATAGAGAGGAGGGGAGAGTGGAGGGAGAAGAAAATAGAAGATACCAGATTAGCAGGGAAACATCAAATAGGAGACCACTTCTCCCCAGGTGACACACACCCTACTAAATACTGTGAAACAGAACAAATAAACTTTAATACAGTACAAGTAAGCCACTCATATTTATTCTAAATTAGAAATATAATAATCGCCACCTTATCTTTAATGGAAGAAATAGCTAATTGTTCTAATGTCTCACTAATTCCAGCATCTGGGAGAAAAACAATTATTTTTTTTTACTATTCTAACAATTGTTCAATTTACACCAAGGTGTATGGTGCAGCTTGGACAGAGATTTCTGTTTCTTGAGCTATGCCATGGCTGTTATTCCAGTTCAATTATTAATATGTGGAAGTTATAATTATTTTGAGTATTGGTACAAGATAATTATAAACCATAAAACAGCTCCCCATTCTTGCTGATGCCTTTTCTTATCTGCAGACGTTTGGGCACGTGAGTTTTAGGAAAAAAGAAACTGTACTGTGGCACTTGGGGTAGCAAGACTGTCCGGGGGGGGGGGGCAGAGGAGCCTTCCCCGCCCCTCGGGGTCCCTTCCTCTTCTCTGTCTGTCCAGAGCCGAAGGTGACGCACTCATGCATCTCTTCTTCTGCTGCTATCTCACCCCCTCCTATCCTGTCTCCTTGATGGTTGAGATTTGTAATCATTCACACATGGTGGTTTAGCTTGTTCAACACCCCACCAGCCCTTCTCCATCCAGACATAACAGGAGATACTGCGCGTGTGGTTGTGTGTGAGTATGTGTGTGGATGTGTGTGTTGGGGCATTTGGGAGGGTGAGAGCCAGAGGGAGGCAGGGGTGAGGTGTTAGCTGCCTTGGGCCGTTACTGCTGTCTCTGCTGCCCACCTCTTTCTGAATACTTTGCTTGGATCTCAATTAGTCATTACTAGGGGGAGGGGATAGGTTGGAGTAAGGCACCTGGGATCTATCATTCTTAACCAAGTCAACTGTAATCAGGTGAAAGTAATAACACATTTGTGTGGATAGTATGTGTTTAGAGAGGGGGCACAGAGAGAATAGATACTGTTTTGGCATCTTCCCATTTAAAAAAAAAACTTTAAAAATGCCATTTTAGCTTAGTTTTTGCACAAAGTAAGGCCAACTGTCCTCAAGCCAGGTCCCAGTTTTGTTTCTGAGTCCTTATCTAGTTCTCCCTGACCCCCTTCTGCCCTTCTTAAGCAATATCTAAGTGCCTCTCTTCCTCCTGCTGAATTTCTTTTTCTTACCACTTTCTACATTCCTGGTTCAGAGTATTAACACTGTGCCTTTCTGCTATGGCAAATGCATTCAGACCCCTTGCTATGGGATGAATTGTGTTCCCTTTTCTCCCAATTTATATGTTCGAGCCCCAGGCCCAATGTGACTGTACTCGGAGATAGGGCCCTTACAAAAGTAATTAAGGTTAAATGAGTTCTAGCGGGTAGGGCCTTGATCCAATAGGATTGCTGTGTTCAAAAGAAGAGCCATCAGAGGGCTGCTCCCTGCCACGTGAGGACAGAGTAAGAAGTGGCCATCTGCGGGCCAGGAAAAGAGCTGTCTCAGGAACCTGACCATGCTGGCACCCTGACCTTGCACTTTCTGTCTCTAGAATTGTGAGAAAATAATTTCTGCTGTTTAAGCTTCCCAGTCGGAAGTGTTTTGTTCTAGCAGCCTGAGCTGGCTGATCGGTCTTCCCCACCATCAGCCTAGTGTGAAAGGTGGGGAATCACATCATGCCCGTGAGTCAGGGGATATGAGTCTTCGTAGGCTCCAGGATCTACAGTCAGTATCCTTCTACTCGACCAGACACCCCGAGCTTGAGGTGTCAAATCCAGCCCAGCCCCTGCCTTTTTGGCTTCCCCAGTCTCTGTCGCTTCAGAGTCTCTAATGAGCGTCGCCCGCAAGGGAATGCGTCTATTCAGCACCACGGACAGAGGCACCCTGTCAGCTCCCACAAATGAGAAGTTACTGCCTTGCACTCTCCTGAAGGCGGTGCTGGGGTGGAGAGGGGAGGCTGAGGAAGCGAATGGTCAGGGAGACTGACTGGCAGGAGGCAGAAAACGCAGCCTCCATCTCTGGCTGTGCTCAGCCCCAGGGCTCGCGCGAATGGGAAGTGGCCGCCTGGTGCTGCTGCCTTCCTACACAGACAGGCAGCGAAATGGGGAAGGTGACAGTCCTTGTGCTTAACTGCGCTGGCTGCCTCTTGTCACACTGTCACCACGATGGATGCTGGTGACGAACCTATAGCTGGCAAGACATTGGGTTTGGGGAGCCCGAGGGGGGTGTCATGGACTGTGGGTTGGGAGGAGAGCCAGCTGAAGAGCTCAGGAGAGTGCACTGGAACTGTGCTGTGGTCTAACCCTGGGAATAGACGTGGTGCAGGTGAGTTTCCTCCCCGTGCCTGGATGGCAGCCCAGGGCCTCGGGAGTGGAGGGGCCCAGCTCAGAGCAAGCTGGGCTGGTAGCAAGCCAGGGCTTCATTTGTCTGACTTTAATGAATAAATGGCATCCCCAGCCATTGTTTATCTACTTTTGAATCCTGACAAACAGTCTGTGGCATCTGATGGAAAGGGTTATTAGCTACACAGAGACAGATGGCTGGGAATGAGGGGAATTGGCTCTCTATGACAGCAAGCCCATAAGCAACAGCACCCCGCTCACATCCCAGCCTCCCCCTCAATGTCAATGCCTTTCCCAAGCTCCCAGGACCCGGTCGAGCCTCAGAGGAACAACCCGCGGCGAAAGGAAGGCAGAGTGGCCCATGAGTGAGTGGGAGGGGCGGGGCACACGGCACTGGGGCGCAGGGCAGGTTTCCAAGTGCAAGTTTGTTGAGAATAAAAACTCTGCCTTATTCTCCGTTAGCATTGTCCCAAGTGCCCTGGAAGGTGTCGTCCATTCAATAGGCATTTAAGAAATGTGAATACCGGAGGGGAAGGTGAAGCGGTCTGGGTTAGAAAAGACAATGGGAGCAGATTTGATTGTGCTGGTGGGTGGGAAACAAAAGGCAGAGGCACGAGGAGGGAAGGAGGGGACGCAGAGGGGAGGAATCGGCACACTGTTCCAGGCAGGACTGATCCTCTCCACGTCACTATGTGAAGAGCTTCATGGAAATCAAACTGCTCTGCCCACTGTCCTCTCCAGATACCCCAGGCTCTTTGTCTTGGTCTATAGTTGCAGGACATAGCTTCCTCCCTCCACGTTACTCCTGAGAGGGTAGGCGGGTTGTCACTGACCTTCATTCATTCTCCGAAACTTGTCCTTGGCCATGTAGCCCAGCACCAGACAGCATCCTCTCTTCTGGAGGCCCAGCTCTGGAAGAAAAACACAGGTGGGTGAGCTGGGAAGGGGTCAGGGGTCAGTGAACCCCCTCTGCAGGGGGCGTGGCTCTCGTTGCTCTTATGAACAGGGCTACTTATTCAGTTCACAAACATTCACGTTGCATTTACTATGGTCCAGGCATCATTTTAAGCTACAAATTCCTTATTTGACTTTCACGACCCTGTGAGGTACATACCATTATCCACTCTGTACCACCCTCACTCACACATGTGTTTTGTAGGCAGCCTTAGATGGTAGAGCTAGGACGGCAGAACCAGGAGTCTGAACCTAGGCAGTCTGGATCCAGGATCCACACGTATAACCACTACTCATAGGTTAACGAGGCCCAGCATGTCCCAGGCCTGGGGATACACCAGGATGACACTGGGACTGTGGTCGGACCTGCCAGAGAAGAGGCAGTGTCCAGCCAGTGGTGCCCAGGATGGAACAATGCAGCCAGGCACAGTGCGACGCAGAGGGACAGAGCAGTGATGGTGACTTTGGAAGAAGACACAAGGGTCGAGGTAGAGATAGGAAGAGTCTGCCTTTTGGGGGAGAGGAGGTTTCTGGGGCTGGGGATTCTGGGCATTCTTATATGTAGGTACCATTCAGCACGACCATCACGCACCTCTGAGGTGTACACACAGTGGGGATCACAGGGGTTGGGAGGGCTAAGACACACAGAACAGACTCTGGTCCCCAAGCCCTTGAGCCAATTGGAAAAATAAGTTAGAACAATAATTCGAGAAAGCAAAGGCAAGGGAAAATTTTTTTTCCACAGTGTTTGTACATCAGTGCCCACCGTGTGTGAGCATCGGACTGGAGGGCATCTGCTTCTCAAGAAGTCCTGCTTTCTTCTCTGGCGTGTAGCCTCTAATCCTGACTTGTAGCACTTTCTGAGTTCTGGAGCGATTCCATCCCACATTTCTCGTTGACCCTTTGGCTCCCACACCAACTCCATGAGATAGGCAGACAGGTCACTGCTCTTTACATGATACAGATGAGAAAATACAAATTCAAAGATGCTAAATGGCTTCCCATCATTCTTTTAGACTCTCACCCCTACCTCTTTGCTTAGAAGTCCTACCAAGGCGACAGCTGCCCTAAACGGGGAATGAAGAAGGGGTATGATTTCCGAGAGGTGGGATAAGCCTGCACCTTCTCCCAGGCCTGGCCAGCCTCTCTGGGCATCCAACAGTTTCTCGGAGAAGGAGGCTCCCACTGAGTGGTGTGTTGCAGCAACTTCTCCAAAAACACTGGTTGTTTCTAGGCTGTTGGCGCACAGGCAGGCTGGGCTCCTCCTCCGCCCTACGTCCCCACCCACCCCTTTTGCCCAGCACACCCTCCACAACAGCAGGATGAAAGGGAGCACAGGCCCATGAGAGACAGAGGAGTCAAGCTTGGGGCCTCCTGCCCTGGAGAAATACAAAACGTGGCAGGTGGTGCTGAAGGCCATGGCCCCTGGAGGTCGCTCGCTTTGATCTCCTGATTCTTTAAAGGGGTTTATTGACCATCAGGAAAAGCAGAGAAGCAGCCCTGAGCCTGCCCCCCCAGAGGCACTCGCTCCTTCTCCTGTCCTTCCGGCTCACTCAGCGGAAGGCAGGCCAGCCCGCCCGCACTTCAAACAGCCTCACATCTCCGGCGCCCAATTGGCGATGTTAAGTTCCCGCATCTACGGCCTTGGCTGTTTCTTCAGGGGCTCTGGCTCTGTCGAGGGGCCGTGTGGATCAAAGCCCCTTTGATGTTTACTTACTATATTTGTGGATTCTTTCTAATAACCCCCTTCAAGAGGCAGGAATGCAGCATGTCAAGGGGGGTCGGCGGAAGCACCAGCTGCGAGGAGGCTCTGAGCTCCCCTGAACACTGACCTCGCCCTGAGACGTTGTTGGAACCTCAGCCTGCTGACGACAGGCACAGTTAGCCTGTCCCTTGTAAGTGCACGCCGGTTGTTCCCCCTCGGATGATACGGTGGCTGACGACTCTTTTTATTTGATTTGATTTTTTCCCTTTATTTATTTTAATTAATTAATTTATTTTTTTGGTACTTGCCCCTAGCGGAAACCCAACCTGGGACTCTCTGGTCCACAGGTCAATGCTCCAACCACTGAGCCAAACCGGCCAGGGCTCCTTTGTTTATTTTAGAGAGAGAAAGGGAGAGAGAGAGAGAGATAGAAACATCAATGAGAGAGAACATTGATTGGCCGCCTCCTGCATGCCCCCCTCTGAGGATCGGGCCCACAACCTGGGCATGTGCCCTGACTGGGAATTGAACCGGTGACCTCTTGGTGCATGGGTCAAAGCTCAATCACTGAGCCACACTGGCCGGACTGTTGACAATTCTTTTATTTATTTATTTGTTTGTTTTTGTTACAGATGTTTCTCATTTTCCCCCCATCGACACCCTCCTCCTCTTCCCCCCTGCCCCATCCCCAGCTTTGTTGTCTATGTTCATTGGTCATGCATACATGCATGTAAGTTCTGTGGTTTATCTCTCCCCCAACAAACCTCCCCTCCTCTGAGGCTTGTCAGTCTGTACCCACCTCTATGTCTCTGGATTAATTTTGTTCAGCAGTTTGTTTAGTTCATTATATTCCACAAATAAGTGAGATTATGTGATATTTGTTTCTGTGCTTGGCTTATTTCGCTTAGCATAGTACTCTCCAGGTCCTTCCATGTCACCTCAAAGGATAAGATCTTTCTTTCTTACAGCTGCATAGTACTCCATTGTGTACATGTACCACAGCTTTTTAATCCACTCATCTACTGATGGACACTTGGGCTGTTTCCAGATCTTAGCTATTGTAAACAGTGCTGCTACGAACATAGGGGTACATATAGTCTTTCTGATGGGGTTTCAGGTTTCTTAGGGTATATTCCTAGAAGACTGTTGACAATTCTTATCATAGTTTCCAGTGACTCCTTCTGTCCATCTAAAGCAGATCAGCAGTGGCTGCTACTGGAAAGGGAGCCTGGGTTCCCGGACTGAGCCCAGGGGGACCAGGGGAGCTCTGAGCCTGGGGCAGAAGGTGCTGGATGTATTTAGGCCAATTTCCTGTTGCTCTTCCTGGAAAGTCCCCTAATTTCCAGGGAAATGAGGGGGCGTAATTTCCCCAGAGCTTTAGAGAACGTGGACAAGCTCTTGAATCTGGATTATCCATATTGACTGTCTCAGCCACCCCAACTCGACCTGTCTGATGTCAATGCGATAGGTTACCGCTAGAGGGATTGCTGGAGGAAAGAGGCCACACGGAGTTATTTTATTTACTATTTTTTAAAAAATATGTTTTTATTGATTTTAGAGAGGGAGGAAGGGAGAGGGAGAGAGAGAGAGAGAGAGAGAAATATCTATGAGAAAAGCATCAATTGGCTGCCTCCTGCATGTCCCCTACTGGGGGTCAAGCCTGCAACCCAGGCATGTGCCCGACTGGGAATGGGACCAGTGACCTCTTGGTGTCCTGGATGACACTCAACCAACGGAGCCACACCAGCCCAGCCATGTGTACCGATATTTTAAGTAAGAGCCTCACTGACCATGTTTGAGTTTTGCAAATGACCAGGAAAAAAAATTGAAAAGAAACTTGATTAATAAAAGAAACGGAGGACGAGGCAATTTCTCAATGTATTTGGCTCATTTACTTTGACACGTGTGGGTTAGTCTTAATTATTTAGGCAGCTACATTACAAGGCGCTAATAAGCACACTGCAGAACTTTATTAAGTGAGAGGCTCTCTGACTGAGTCTTTACTGAGAAGTGGGGAGAAGCCACTGGGATCTTTGCAAAAACAAGCAGTTTGGAGGATCAGCGAAGCGAGAACAGCTAGCTATCCATATGCGACCATTTGGGATTTCTTCAGAGAGATTTGCCAGAGCTAAATGAGAGGGTGTTGGGTCCGAGTGAGGAAGCGCCGGCAGGGCTGGAGTGGGGGAGGGGAGGAGAAGCTGGAAACCCAGTGAGAACAGGGAAGAAGGGTCTAATGCTTGGGCTTAGGGAAACCCCGCCCACCTCTCAAGGGAGAGATGATCAAATGTGACAGACAGAACAGTGACCTTCACTCTGTGAGCCAGACCAGCCTCCAGACGGCCACCTTCCCAGTCGCCCTGCCCTGGCGCGGAGCGGGGAGTCAGACCACAGGTGCCCATGTTAGAGCGGCGAGGTGATGGAGCCTTCGCCATGGGGACTTGGGGTTGCAGGCTTTGCTGAGCATTAGCAGTGGCAGAACCATTGGATGCACCAAAGGTGCCCATGGAAAAGGAGGAACCGGAAACAAGTTGTCCCGGCTTAGAATGAAAGTTCACAGCACAGAAGTCCAGGGTCACCTGCAGGGGGCGGTGTGGAGGGCCCTGTCTGGGGAGATCAAAGGTTTAGGAAACACTGCTGAGCGAGGACACAGTGTTTCTAAGGGAGTAGGGAAGATTTGGTCCCAGGCCTCTACACTGTGAGCAACAGAAGGTCTGCCTTTAAAACCAACCAACCAACCCACCCACCCACCCACTCACCCACCCACCCACCAACCCACCAACCCACCAACCCACCCACCCACCAACCAACCAACCCACCCACCCACCAACCAACCAACCAACCAACCACCCACCCACCAACCAACCAACCAACCAACCAACCAACCAACCAACCCACCAACCAACCAACCCACCAACCAAAACCCCCTCTGAGCCCCTGGTCCCAAGCACAGTGCCTGCTGACGTAATGAAAGGGCCACCTACAAAATACTGGGGAGTGATCAGTTTTCCTCTCCCCAGTCAGAAGGCAATCAAATGGGCTTAAGTGTGGCACAGAGGATTGGATTAGGGAAAGAGGGTGGTGGATGAAAATTGTAATTCATTGGAACAGGAGTCTAGGAAACATGAGACTTTCCTCTGGAGAGGAATAAAAAGCCTTATAAATGGAACGGTTTCCCTTCAGTTTCAGAGGGTGAGGCTGGGACTCTTTCTAGCCTTAGGGTTTTTAAATTCTTATTAGTAATAACAATGATACAGTGATATTACTTCACATTTGTGAAATACTGATTTTTTTCACGACGCTGTCATATTCACTCTCTCATTAGATACTCACAGCAGCTCTGTGAAGTAGGCGAGGCAGAAATTATTTCTCTCATTTTGGTTTCAGAATCCGAGGCTCAGAGAAGTAAAACGCCAACCCAAGACCGAAGCACTAGCCGGTACTAGTGCTCAGGCTAGAACCCTGGTCTGGCGTCTGGCTTAGCTCTCAGGTGAGGTCTGGGATCCCAGGGTGCTGCTGTGGATCAGGACAGACCAGGGGACAGACAGCACCCATCAATGGTCCTGCCTGGGACGAGGTGCAGAACTGTGTCCCCCAACATCCTAAATTGAAGTTCCAACCCTAGCACCTCAGAATGTGGCTTTATTGGAGATAAGACCTTTACAGAGGTAATCAGGTTAAAATGGCCCTTAGGGGCCACTGATCCAATATGACTGGGGTTCTCATAAAAAGGAAAAATGGGAGACAGACGCACATATGGGAGAATGCCGTATGAACTTGAAGATGGTCATCAGCTAGCCAAGGTCAGAGCCTGGAACGGATCTTTCCCTCACAGTCTGCAGAAGGAACCAACCCTGCCCACATCTTGATTTTGTTCTTCCAA